GTCCTTTGGATTTAAAGCTTATTGCCTTAGGGAATAAAGAAAGTGAGACGCCTCTTGGAAGAAGATTTCCTAAAAAGAAAATTTTCAAAAAATCAGCGGTGAACGGGTGAGAGTTTTTTTTTTTTTTCTTTGGAATTTATTAAAACTTAACAAAACTTATTTTGTTAATAAGCCTACTGGTTAGAAACACTTCAAGCAAATGACTTTGTAATTAAATATAAATCTAGAAAAACAAATATAGTAACTAATACACTTTTACAACAATTACAATTTATCACTATTTCTGTTTTTACTATCCAACTTGAAAAAAACCTTGAAGAAATATATTATAAGAATGCTTTCTTCAAACCAATCTAGAAAACATTTCAATACCTTGAGTTTGCCACTGAAAAAAAACAAACTTGCACACAAAATTTTAAAATAAAAAACAACAAAATTTATCTGAAAAAAATCAATGACTTGCAATATCAAACAACAAAAAAACTGAAGACAAAAATCTTGTATAAAAACTATAATAATATTACTGCAAAACATTTGGGAATTAACAAAATTTATGAAAACATTGCAAAACATTTCTATTGACCTAGGATAATCAAGAATATCAAATGATACATCAATAGCTATGACACCTGCTAAAGAAACAAATCATAAATTAAAATCCTGCTGAACTTTTATAACTCCTGGAATTATCAACAAAGTGCTGAAAACATATTTTCATGGATTTTATAGTTCAACTGCCATTGACATAACAAAAAAATGATACTATTGTAGTGTTTACTGATTATCTTATCAAATAAGTTGTCTTTTAACTAATCTATACAACAGTAATTACTTCTGAGGTTGCAAAAATATTTTTCAACACTACTTTTAGAAACTATGAATTGCCAAAAATAACTGTATCTAACTATGATATCAAATTTACCAACCACTTTTAAAGAAGTCTTTTTAAACAATTAGAAATCAAACTATCAATATCAACTGTCAGTAATTTCAAGCTGATAAAAAAATTGAATATCTCAATAAAACTTTGAAGGAAATACTGAAAATCTATACTACTGTTAGAGGTAAAAATAGTAATACAAAAAGATAGATAAATAAAGAAATGATAATTAGGTATATTAGGTATATTAGGTATATCAAGTATATTAGGTATATCAGGTATATTAGGTATATCAAGTATATTTGGTATATCAAGTATATAGTAAAGAAGTATAAAAGTGACAAGTAAAGCAATGAAGAAAAGGTTGGTCATTTGATAGAACTATAATACGTTAATAGATCCACAACATAAACTCGACCAAAAACATACACGCCTATTTCAAAGGAAGACGAATTACGACCGTTACATGGCGTAGGCCAGATCGAAACAACAGACTCGCCGTATCACACTATAACAATTTGGTGGTGACTGTAAAATTCGAATACAACAGCGACACTCACTACCCCCCGATTTTTCTTTTTTTTAGCGAACATAATTAAAATATATACGATAATCAGACGCGCAGTACCACTCATTTTATTTTCATTCTCTTCACATACAATTACAATCACAACACTCGCTACCCCCCTCCCCCCCCGATATTTTTTTTTTACGACCACATTTAAGTTTTCTTGTTTAGCTTCAGTATTTTATTAATTAAACTTTTGTTTCTCTTCTCTCGGTCCCCCAAAAAAAAAAAAGAGGGGAAAGGGGAGGAAGAGCGAAGAAAAATACATACATTACTGAACCTCCGGTCCTCTTCTAAATCGAGGCTGAAAATAAACGACGAACAATTTCAGCAGTTTATGAAGAGGGTATTTCGATCGTTAGACTTGGTGGCAAGCAGACAAAACGATGCACGAGAAGACGACCCAATAAGAACAAGAACATTCGCCGGGAAAGAAGATGACGACCCAATAGAATGGTTAGAAGGATTTGAGAGAATGGCGGGAGTGAACGATTGGAACGAAAGGAAAAAGCTCAGGATGGTCCCGGGCTACATGGTGGGCCTAGCAGCTGAGTGATACCGAAAAAACAAGGAAAGAATCTCAGAGTGGAGAGACGCCAGGTCTCCTGATAGGAGCTTCTACCACGCACTAACGGAACACTTCGCCACCTCGGAAAGGCAACATAAATGGCAAATAGAGTTAAACGAGCTCAACCAGAAAAAGGAGGAGAAAGTCGACAGCTACGCGGTAAAGTTTAAACACCTACTTGCAAGGGTCGACCCTGAAGGAACGATCCCCGTTGACTACGTGGTAAGGATGTTCTTGAATGGACTAAGGGGTAACACTGCTACGTTCGTTACTATGACGTCACCAGAAACACTCACGGAAGCCATTACGGTGGCACGAAAGGCAGAAGCTGGAAACTACTACGAATGACAAGCACAGGGAAGAGAGAGAAGTGTGACGAAGAAATTAGAAGATGACATGGGAAGGATAGAATGGCAAATTCAGGAATTAACATCAAATTATGCGACCCTAAGAAAAACACCCCGACTAGAACAAGGGAAACGGGAGTAAAAGAGCGTGATCTGTTACCAGTGTGGGAAGGAAGGGCATGTAGCCCAACAATGTACGGAGAGGAAAATGTTGAAGGAGCCACAAAAAACCATGACTCCAAGGATACATTACTGCTATGAGGAAGTGGAGACAAGCGGAATGGACGGAGAAGAGGAAGCATACACCATGGGAGACGTGTCGCGAACCAAAGGAAGAGAGGAAGACCTGGATGCCAGGTAGAGGAAAGCGTAAACGAACAACTGAAAACACCAAAACTTATAAGGATACGGGAGCCAATGGTAGTGGTGGAACCTCCCAGGACAGCTGGTGCTACCAAGAAACCAAAATGGAAAAGGATGCCCTCCGTGGTCGATTCGTTAGAACTGTATGACATACCCGACGACATTTTATCACTAACATCTATCGCGACTCTGGGGCAGCTGCTAAAGTACCCTGACCAACGACGCAACCTCTCGAGGATATTGAAGCGACCCCTACCACCAACCGAGGCAAATTATGCGAGTTCTGCAGGGGTACCCAAGACCACAGCCGTTAAATGTTATGTACAAATTGCAAACAAAATAGTAGTTACGGTCCTAGATACCGGGGCAGCAGTGAGTATTATAACAAAGAAGTTGTTGGACAGGCTCCATCTGAAGATAGACCAAAAATCTACCTCTGTCGT